TACTTCACCAAAATCAAACACAATTCACTCGCACCACCCCCACAAATCTGGAAACTTTTTTATAAACGGGTAAATTAGGCATGTATAAAGGCTGTAACTATCTGTGACCCGTCCTCCAACCCTCGATCTAAAGCAAGCTATTGTTGCTAAATGGTTGAAAGAAGAAAACCTAGAGAAAGAAACCCCCGAAACTAATAACTGAATACCTAGGTTGAAGATAACTTTTTCCCAAGTCCAAGCCATTGTGTCCATGTATTTTTCCTCCGAACCACCTTCCAACCATGCAATATGAATGAGAGTTTGAGATACTGTGGGTCTCAAAAAAATCATGCCTTTTTGTGCGAATGGTTCCCAAAGCCCAACCCGTTGAAAAGAAGGTCGACCGCCAGAAAGCGAGTGTTCGCTTTTCTTCCCGTGAGAAAACTCCGCTTGTAAGCGGGGATCTCAGAAAAGGAAGAGGTCTGCTGTTTATGCTCAGAGCCAAGCTGAGCAAATCTTGCTGTTGTACAGAGGGGAGGTGTTGGGCCCAGAACCCAACCATGAAGGGCGTCCCCTTCCTCGATCTCAAAGATCAAAGTCCTGGCCGACCCGGTCGTGCTGGTCAGTGTTGTACTGACCGTACGAGCCGTACCCCAAGTTGCCCAAGTTTTGGGTCATGTTGACCGCCTGGAAGCCGGGCTGGGGCTTGATATCGGCTCCATAGCCCGTGTAACCGTAGCTATAATAAGCCGGGCGAGGCTGGGCGCAAAGCGGGTTGTAGCTACTCGCGGTGGTCAACCCATGCGTATGGTGATAGTACGGGTTGGCGGGGATAGACGGCTGGCTGGTGAAAGAAGAGGCACCAGCATCCCGGGTGGGAAAATAAGAATGGGTCTTGACCGTATCCGACGGATGGTTCGTGCTCATCGCACGCAAAGTATTGCTGCGGCGGCTGTCATACCTGGCAAGACACAAGTTAGCAACCAGTATCATTCAAGAAGTTCAAAAAATTGCTTACCCAGGATCGTCCATAGGACTTTGATGGCGGACCGCCATTTGATTGTTGGCCATAGACCAATCTATCCAAGGATGCGGCGCAACCGGCTTGGGACCGTCACTAAACACATCGTACGTGTCCGCTGAGAGGTGGCTGTGGGTAGCAGCTCCACCGTGGTCATCGACATCGCCATCGGCATCCTCATCCTCTTCGTCGAGTGGCTTGGTCTTGGGAGTATTGTTGCGCAGCGCAGCCATCCTTCTAGTCAGCCTGGTCGAGGCACGGCGCACTTGGCTCGAAGCGGCAGCAGTGAGCGTACGACGAGCCCGCTTCTTCTTGCTGTTATCCGCCTCCTCCTGGGAATCATGTTAGTATAAGCTTTTGAATGAAATTCAAATGAGTGATTGGGATTGACATACCGGACTTCCGTCGATGGAGGGACTGTCGTAAACATCCCGGTAGCGCAGGCGCTTGAGACCATCCTGGGTCAGCTCGTAGACAGTCTCCACGGATGTGATATCCCTCGACGTCTGCTCCATCTTCTGCAGCACAGACTCATCTTTGCGCTGGTTGCGCTTCTTCTTCTGGGGGGTCGTCGCAGAGTCAAAGAGCCCCATGCCCTCATACACGACACCCTTGAGCTTAGTGGCGTTGTCGCCATCATTGATATCCTCGGGGATCTCGGTGCCCTCAGACCGGAGCTCTGAGGTTGTTCCACTCACGGCCGTTGACTCAGAGGGGAAGCGGCGGCTTCTCAAGACCATGCTGTGCTGTGGGGTGCTGGGAATTGCAAAGCCATCCCGAGTGCGCCTGGTGGTCGGGGTTTGGAAACCAGAATTGTCGAAATATCCCTGGCGTCTGGAAGAGGATGACCAACCGAAACCAATCTGTGCCTGGACAAACTCATCAGGCTCTACCTTGATGCTGTCCGCAATCAAATCAGTGCTGCCGTCACTCTGACCACCTCGGGTGCGCTGAATGTTGGACTGGTCGGTCTGTTCATCTTGCTTCAGTTTGCGACCTTCATTTGAACATCAGGATGCAGCAGAATTAATTACCGCGGTAGTAGAGGCCCGGCCTCTTCTCTTGCCTGTCGTTTTCTTCTCCTTGGTGGCCAAGCGCTCGGCCAGTAGCTCATTGATGCCAAATCGATCCTCCCACTCGGTGTAGGCGGCGGTGTTGGCTTTTGACTCAGGGTCGGGGCGCAAACCGACTTTGAACTTCTGGGATAAGTGGCTCTTGGAGGCGATATGGGTGAGGAGATGGGAAAGATCCGAAAAGTTCGGCTTTCTGGGGCAGATGATACACTGCAGGGGGATTGGGCCGGCGGCAGGCCCAGGCATCTCCATTGGAGCAATCGCAGCCATGTTCTTTGATAGTAAGCGAAAGTCAGCATCAGGGGGTTTCGAATTGCAAGTACGAGAAGCATTGTGTAAGTCCCAGCTGGGTGGTAACTCACACAACACACGCACAGCGATGTCAGGGGTTAATGGTTGATTGACTGCAGGATCAACCCGGGGCTCAGGGGAGTAAATATGGTTGGCCAGGGCAACCAGACGGAAACGGGAAGCAGATGGAGGTTGAAGGGGGCTTCTTCGGCTTCCGAGGGCAGGTGAGACCGAAGAATACTCGATGTAGGTATCGTCCTCTGGTCCCGGGTTTGATGCCTTCGTCTGTTGTTCCTGGACTTCCAAGTTCTGAGGACTGACCACCTGGGTCGTCTTTCTGAGGAGGAACTGGTAGTACAACTTGAGGATTTTGATAAGCTGGATTCCCAGCAAAACAAAATGCCCTCGAGGCACCGCCAGCCCGGGCAGCAGATGGGAACCGAGTGGTAGACAAGGTAGTGGAGAAAGGGGAAGACGAACTGAAATAGCTGGCGAGGAAGGTACAACTCGAGGACGAGCTGCGATGGAATGAAGTCGTTGATATGGGACGAGAAGGAAAGAGAGAGAGACCGGGAAAGAAGAGACGAGAGAAAGTTGACTGGTGTAGTGGTGTGAAAAGTCCAAAGAACTGGAGAGTGGGAAAGTGGGGGTGAGCTTTTTGAAAAGTTCGAGAGGAAGGAGCCACGACACTTGACGTGACCTGAGTGCAGACTTTGCACTGGGGGAAGGAGCAATGGAAGGAGAGATGAGAAGAGAGGAAGGAACGAACCTGTGATTGAAGAATGGTGACTGACTTCGACCACAACACCTGTGTATGTGTGAATGATCTCCACCAAGGATTGTTAACTTACAGAGATAGAGATTGGCTTGCAAGCCAATGTACCACTTTTGGAGCGGTTCTTTCAGCCCGGTTGGAAGCAATGGGCGAGCGAGCGGTACTGAGGTTAAGTTAGCGGGGCTGGGACGAAAACCTGTTGCTGTATGGCGAAGCACATACTTGATGACTGGGCGTGTCTTCGCCAGTGATGCTGGTGAAGACAAGACTGTTGAAGCGGATGCGGTTGAAAGAGAGTTGAGAAGGAAAGGAAGTGAATCAAGGCCGATTAAATAATTGGAGATTTGGGCATCTCGACGATGGTGTCGCCGGCACAAGTGGCCGGAAATCTCTATCTCCAGCGGGGCATATCATGATAGCCTTGGCCCGCAACAGGTGTTTGCTGATGAAGCTATTGTGTTTTGTTGGGCAGCCAGCTTTCCGGCCATTTCCAAAATGATAAGGCCTGCTCCTGAGGGCTCGGCGGAGCATCTTTCCATATGCAATGCGGGTACAGCCTTCAGGTCGTTGAAGTGACCGGAAACCTCTTTATTCAGTGGGGCACATCGTGATAGTCTTGACCCGCAATAGGTGCTTGCTGATGAAGCCATTCTGTTTCATGGAGTAGAAAGCTTTCCGGATAGTTCTACCAAGATGCCCAGAGGCTTTGTGCTCGGCGGAGCATTTTCCAATTTATATTACAGGCACAGAAGTGGCCGGAATTCGGATTGTCTCGGCAGAGCATATCAAGATATGAATACTAGACCCGTAACTGGTGCTTGATTCATGAAGCTCTTGTGTTCCGTTGAGTAGATAGTCTTCCGGCTATTTCTGTGATGATGTGGCCTACTCCAGCTTTGATCAACCAGTGAGCAGCCTGCTCGGCGGGCCACATCAAGATATGAAGCCAGAATTTGAAGCCATGCTTGTTGAATGAATCTATTGTGCTCCGTCTAGTTGTCAACTTTCCCCCAATCTCTACAATGATGTCACCAATCTGCGGAGCACAAAAGAATGCGGCTCCTGATCTGCAAATATTGCCATTATGTGTCCTATGGAACAGGCAGCTTTCCGGTCACTTCCACGATGATGTCGTTGCTCTGGCTTTCTCGGCCCAAGACTGATAGCAGATGGAAAGCCATCCGATCTCTCCAGGAGCAAAGTCGTCGAAACACCATTGAGCCTATCAAGGGACTTCAGTATAAGAGCCTTCAGCTACCTAAAAACAAAGGGCTTATCTCAATTAAGAAGAGATTTTCGTCCAAACTTGAATCTGCTTGCAGAGCAAGCCTAATGGAACTTCTAAGAATACACAGCTGCCATCAGATCAAAGCCAACTTCAAACTGATAGGACCACCTGCTCCCGGGTCACGCCTTGATCTCAGTAAGCGGGCCCTTTTTGACATGCCCGCACAAGATCTCCAACCACCAACACTGCTCCGGCTTTGCGCATGATCACGAGGGATTTCTTTCTCAACCAGCTGTTCGTACATTGATATCCGGGGCAATTAATGGCTGTTGCTCCAATCCACAAGCTTCCGGTCCCTTCTCCTCAACAATGATTTCGCAGATTGCTAGCTCAAACTACCCCAACATGGGCAACATGTCCTTGGATAATCGTCACAGCCGACCATCGCAAATGTGTCAGCAGAAGGAAGATGGAAAAAGATGAACCAATCAACCCGTTTTCTATTGGCATGTGTCCTTCCGCCTAAAGCATGGTCTTGCCTTATCGTCCGTTCCTTGAGTGGTGTCCACGGGTAAGCTCTCGGTGTATCCTGACGTCGGAACGGTCAGAACAGCAAGAAAACAACAAAAAGATTGGACGTACCAGGGTTCGAACCTGGGACCTTCTCATGGAAGAGCATTGGATCATTCGAACCTCTTCCACTCGATTGTAACAAGTTTAAGAGCAACGAATATTTTTTGCAAATGAGATGTCGTACCACTAGACCATACGCCCTGAATTGGTACTGACATGACCTCTGGTTCTGAACGTTATATGCCTGAGCTTCTCGGCTGCTCTGTGTCGGAGGGCAGGGGCGAACGGAGCCAGAGTTATCTTACCACATCTGCCATCCAATCCCAACTATCAGCGAATTCAGAACCCATTTTCCATCCAAACGGTCCAAGCATCACGACACCCGTTTGCGAAGGATACAATCTCGTGCTCCTTGGTCTGCAACACACGTCGACGCGAAGCTGACAGCGGCAGCGGTGTTCCAGCACCTTCACAAGTGCCCCACCTGTCCAAGCCAGCAGAGCTGAAAGTCCCGAGGAGGTTTGGATCCCATGAAGCTCATGCCTTTTTCGCGTGCAGAGTCCCTTAAGCCTAACTCTCTTACTTCCATTCCGCTGCAGTGTATTATCTGCCCTAGAGGACGTTTTCGTTGTCACACCGCGAGGAGAGGTTAAAGAAGGCGTCTTGGCTGGCGTTCGCGGCGATAATTGCGAGGGTTAGTGGCGTGGATCAATATAGGTAGCGAGAAAACGAGAATGGAAAGCCGAGGACCTCCTGCGTAAGTATCAGAGATTCGAACGTTCGAGACTCTTTGGGCCTGACTGGAAGACCGCCTCGATCTGGACCATATGGAAGATGCTGGTCATCTCTTGCACGTTGGGGCCATCAGGCTATTCGAACGACATGGACGCGGAGTGGCTTTTTGTCGAAGGTACTTGACCATAAACTGCTGTCACCGACACGGCAGCTTGCAACCGCCTTAACCTTCCAAAACCACACGCGCAGGCGCAGCTGCCTTTCACCATTAGCGCGAACAAACCGTCAGAGGACCTCTCCGAATCTAATAACACCCCAGGTGAGCCGGGCGATCGCTGTCTGATAGCCAAACCCAAGGGCATCTTGAGAGCCTCCAAGACATGGGATGTTCCATCAGCGCCCAAATTTGTCCCAACACCACAACAGAGCCGGAGGCTGGTCTTTGAGAGCCCAATTTCCAAATCCAGCAAGGAACAGTCATGAGCTCGGGTTGTATGCTCCAAACATGGCCTTTCCAGCGAGAGCGTGCAGCATCGCGTGCGAGCGCGTGAAAGGCCAGCGCTTTTCCGGCATTTCTATTCATCTCAGCTTGATAGGGGTAGGCCAAGACAGCGAACAGATCTCAAATAATTTCAAGCCCACTATCTTGGCAAGCCAGCCTGAATTTTCTTTCAGGTACTTTGGAGAAAATCCAAAATCAGCCTCAGCAGTATTATCCAATGCTTTATTCCTATTGAGGACTCTTTCAAGCTTCTGTCAACGCATCAAGCTTCACTGATCTAACTTTCCGGTGCATAGAATCACTCATAAATTTACATGACAATAGAATACACCTCGTAAATGGGCTCAGCAAGGACTGCACAGCGTCTACCGTTTCATTGGCACCAGCAACCTCTGCAACAGCACCTACTATCTCAATGTGAATTCTCGAAAGCAACCTACGCCCACCATCTCAATGTCTACTATCCCAAAGTTCACCATCTCAGCGTCTGCCATCGCAACGGAGTTCGCGCATGATACCCGCCCTCTTTGCACAGATCACTTCAAACAGCAAGCTTGCTACAAACTCTGGAGTCAGCTACCACCCTTGTTGCTCCTGACAAGGCGCACGTGCTGCCGCCTAGAGTTGTTGTCAGGATTGACAGTCAAGTCGAGAAACGCTCCTTGAAGTGCTGGATTGCAAAGCTGTCTGGTTTCTAACAGGCTTGGTGGATGGATACCATTTAAGGAGATCACCTTGCTCTGACGATAGGCAAGAAACTGTGAGCGAAGCTTGGTGATGAATTCACAGCGCTCGCAAATGGCAGCCAGGGCTTGAATCGGTGCTGCGAGCACGACGAGCAACTGTATTTCGGCGCAGCGTTATGGCTCTAGGTTCCTTGACTCTGCAAGTTTATGTCGTCAGAGACTCGGAACAGTTTCAGAGGGCGCATGCGGGAGAGCGTTTCCGGGAGGAAATAACAGGCGATAAGATCTTGCTATAATTTTACTCTGAGTTCTTCCGCACGCAGCGGTAAGCTACCCGGATTCTAGGCAATCAAGAAGGCCGTCATGTTCGTCGCCGCACACAGAGAAGACTGGTGAGGTTATTGGAGCGCCAATGGCTGTAGCTCCGCAGCGAGCATAGCTCCCAAAATAAGGGCACTGGGGTTGCGCCTCCCAGGGCGCCATTTACCATCGATGACAACACGCCCTCAAACCAAAAGAGTGTCTTCAGCCACCACCCCTATCTTACCTCAGGGTCTTCTACTTCCGTCTTATCTCCTGCATCCCATCACAGTCTTCCAGTCAAGCAGGAAAACCAGGCTAACCTGCTTACTGCTGTTGATGTCGTGAAGTCTTGACCCTGAAGTAAGTCGTCTTTAATCTAAAGTCAAGAATTGCTGCAAGGCGTCATAGTGATTGCCGCTTAGTAGAGGTCGAGGGCGAGAATTGGCTTCCAGAGCAGGGCTGGGTGCGCAAGAGCGCATAGCTGTGGCGGCACCTAAAGTGTCGTGAAGGCTGTACCTGTGGCGACTGACAAAGGTGGTGATGGTATACCAGTCGCTGGGCTCATGATGCCACATGCGATGATCGCCTGGAGCAGGGTCAAATGGGCCTCGTCGTCCCAGATCGTCGCTGGATTTCTAAATGGAACACGGCATGGACCCATGGTGACGACGTGTTGTTTCGAGAGTGTGTGGTTATTATGACAAATGTGGTAGTCGGCAGGAAGTGTGAGTTGTTTAGGGAAGAGCGTGATGGAATTGTTGCCAGAAGGTCAAGAACTACATACCCGGTACCACGCCCAGGAGACGTTTGGAGCGTGCGCGAAAGCGTTTTTGCATCTCTTAGGTCCCATCTTCCCGCCGATGTTTCCTTGGGTCTGGGACTTGCAAATCTTCCCTCTCAAGTCGCTATCTCAAACACAATTTGTGACCTGTTCGAATAATGACACCTTCTTCCTCATATCAAGCTCCCCAATCTTTTCACTCATATCACCACCTTCTCGGGGCTCTCTTATATTTTGACTGATATGCTGCCTGTAACTGCCAGTCTTCCGGCTTAATATAGCTATGTAGGAAGCGGTTTCAAACTTCGCCATCTTCCTACTAATAGCAGCAGTGCTTTTAAGGCCCTCATGTCATGCCACTCATGCCATTCTCAGCACTCTATTGTTTTGATACTTATATTGTTGTCAAATCGTTTCGTTTTTACACTGATGCCGATTGATTGTAGAGCTGATCGATCTTCTTATTTGTGTCGATCCATGTTGTGTCTCTCACACAAGTCTTCCAAGATTTGAATGCGGTGGGCGCTACCAGCTTGGTCTGCTTTTGTTGCAGCAGCGTGTGGCGGTACTGGGATCTCATGACATATCGGTCGTCAAAGTTGATTCTGTTGTAAATAGTTGGGTTCGATTTATTCCCACATGCGCTTGATCTGAGAGTTGTGGGTGGCGTTCGAGCGTGCCTGAATGATGAAGATGGCAATGTCCGTTCAGAAGCCGTTCAGCCAGTTTTTCGGAGACCACGCCAGCAATCTAGAGTGCACAATTTTCGTCATAGCTTACGCCGCCCACAATAGCAGAGATCTATACCGCAGTCCGTCCGATGCCCATCTTGCCCCTGCTCCTGCTATTACGGCCAAGAAAGCCAGAATAGCCCCACAACCTATCTCCAAGCAGATCGAGCGTGCCCAGCAGCAACAAAATCTCGTCGCGCACACTCGAGCGTCAGCTATCGTATCTTCTCGTTAGAAATGCTATTGGCTGCTCGCGGTCACGCCCATGGTCAAAAATACTTCCTTGTTAGCTCGTCGGCTCTCGAAAAGGGACGCTAACTGCATGATCTGTCCGCAACAGCGCCGTTCTCAGACAACTGGTCAGAATCTCAGAAGTCTTCCACTGGGAAGAGTTCGTCGTGTGCGCCAACGATGCCTTGAGTGGCTCACCAAGCTAAATCACAAGTTCGACGGCGATAGCTCATAGCTTGTTCTGGATGTCGTACAAGAAAGATCTTCTGCGTAAGTATCAAAGATTCAAACATACAAGACTCTTAGGCCTGACTGGAGCCTGGAAGATCACGGTGCCTGCGTCTTATGAGGCTTGGATCGACTATAGACGGAAGATAGGCGCAGACTAACAGGCGCAAGGGATGGTGCAGAGGCTGAGGGCGGGTTCCAAGCCAACACCGCAGGAAATGCCAAACAGCAGCTGTCTCTGCGCGGCCTTTGCCTCGTGCTCGCGGAGAGGCGCGTTTGCGTATGTATGCCTGTAAGCACCATCACGGTGCCGACCGTAGACACGGTCACCCAGATAGTGACGGCAGTTGCCTGTCTGACCGCAGCTATCGCCCATCTTATACAGGTCTTGATCGGAAGGTGTCGTGCTTGCTGTAGATCGCAGCGTAGTACTGCATTGTTAACGGGGGGCACCACAGCCGGTGCAGCATCCTGTTGGACGGAGGGCACTAGGTACAATAGGGGCAGCGTCCTGTTGCTTATCGCCATTTGCATTGGCGACATTTTGTATGGCATTTCCGAAGGGTACGTCGGGCTGTACGACATTATCAGCGTTTGGTATGGCCGGCTCGGCCTTATCGTCGACCAGATTGGCCTATCCGGCCTCATCTCAGCTTGATGTATATCTTCAAGAAAGATATCGACCCCAGGTACCAATTCGAGGACATTGACTTGAACCTCGTCAGCCACAGATGACGAAGCTCAGAGCACCCCGACGCGGATCACATACCTGCTGATCCGCGTCGACACGAGGAGCAAGCTGCTGCAGAATTTTAAAGTGGATGCCCGCCTGGGAGCGCTTCAAAACGCGCTCTTGCGCCTAGGTAGCGAATCACTTGGTCTGGGGATACAGCGATTAGCACGTCCTCGCCTCACTCGTTGTGGAGTGGCTGACCTATACAAATCGGCGGCTAAGTAGCCTCTTTCTTGACATGAGTATGGTGGGGAGTGGTTGATGTCAACTT